AACGATAAAACTGTTCCAGTATTTACAGGCCTATTAGTCTTACATCAGTGGTGGTAAAAGTTTTTGACATTCTTTGAAGATGTTACTAATTATGTATATAAGAGTATGGGTCTGAATTTAGTGTACCTGGATTTCAGAAAATAAATGACAAGGTGCCACATGAAAAGCTTGTTAAAGTAACTTAAAGATGTGGGGGGATAAGTTCGATAATTAAATAGAAAAGTAGTTGGATGGAAGAAAGCAGATTGTTGCGTCAAATGTTGTTCAGTCAATCTGGATTAATGTCACAGATTGACTTTGCTCTTTTGATTTACATCAGTGAAATAGATAAAGGAATGGTAAATAAATTATTTAAATTTGTTGTTGATATTAAAGTTTTGGGTGTTGCTGGCCATGAGGAGGATGCTGCTGCTATACAAAAGGCTATGAATTATTTGATAAATTGGGTGGATAAATGGCAGATGCCTTTTAATTATAATAAATAGAAGGTAATGCATGTGGGATATCACAATTTGAATTATGAGTATAATTTTGATGGGAATAACCTTAACAGTGTTATGAAAGAAAAAAACCCATCCAAACAAGCAGTTGTTGCTAGTAACAAGGCAAATACAATTTAAAGTTGTATCTATAGAAATAATGAGTACAAGTTTAGACAGGTTATAATTTTATTATGGAGGTAACTGGTTAGACCACATTTGGAGTATTGCATTCAGTCTTGGATTTCTACACTCTCTTGAAAAAAAAACATAGTTAGAGGGGAGCTGATCGAGGTGTTAAGATTGTTAAGGGAATTTACAATGTTGATAGATCATCTTCTTTCTTACTTAATGGTGAGAATTGTATGACTGAAAGACAAATATAAACTTTGGCAGGGGAGTCATCATCAGATAACATAGTTTTATTTTTCTAAAAGGGTAGTTGGCTTTTCAAATGGGTTACCTGCAGATTTGGTGGATACAATAAATTTAAGTGAGTTTAAGGGAAGGTTTGATAAGTACCTGAATGATAAAGGCAAGCTTTAAGGTTGTTTGATTTTTTATTGGTTAGTTTAGTGAATGGAACAGGCTAGATGGACTAACAGTTCCCTTCTTATCCTTCAGTTTTGTTATTTACCTTATTAGTAATCATGCTGAAGTACAGTGAACTTAACATTTTTGTATTTTTCCCATTTAAAATTATGGTATCATGTTTGTGTCTTGAGTAGAAAAAAAAAGTGACAATAATGGATATTTATACAATTAGCAGAAGCAAAGCAGAGGTCAACCACATTATTCAGAATACTGTGCATCAGCTAC